TGACAATTTTATGGCAATTTTATGACAATTTTATGATAATTTTATGACAATTTTATGAAACTACCTCGACTGGCTCAATCTGGATCATTAATTTTCACAATCATCACAACCATAAGCATCATTGTTTTTGAAGACATGAATGAATGACTTTGCCAGGTCATAAAGCTCAGCAAGCTGTATTTTTCTATGTTATGGTGCTTCGCCAAGAGCTTGTTGATTATCCTCACTGCAAATGCCACAATTCTGCTAAGCAAACTTGAGCTACATCATTATGAAAGAAGTGCACGGTTCTGTTCGAGCTAATTTATAAATAGTTTCAATACATTTTTAAGTTCATTTTAATTTATGTATATTAATAATAAAATGTCCAGTAAAACCTAATAAAAGGCAATTATCAGCTTTTAAATGGGCTGTCAAATAAAGCAATGTTGTCAGCTCAAAATTATGTAATCCTAAAAGAACGCGCTTTATATGATTGCATTCTAGATCAGACTCAACAGGAGAGTTGCGCCAGTCACCTATAAGAGCTAGAGCTAGATTCAGTTGAAGTTTCGCTCAAATCAGCAAATATATCGATATCAAATATCGATATTAAAAGCATTTTTAGCTCGCCCGAGTGCTATGCCAGCTGACCCCACACTTTTGCTCTGGTAGCACGAGGTATTTCGGCATTGTCCGTAAAAGCTTGAGTCAACTTTGACTGTGGCCCATAGTTAATTGGAAATTAGTTTTAAACGATGCTTAAATGCTGGCTCATCAGACAAACGAAGGCCACTTTTAAAGCAATTTTGCGACTGGAAAACTTAAAGTTCTCGAGTTGCCAGCCAATTAGACAGGAAAAGCAGAGCGACGTGCGTTGGTTTTAGCTTGAGAAAATGGCACAGCCACTTGACTTGCTGTTGCTGCTGCTACTTGTTGTTGTTGCTGCTGCTGTTGCACGTTGTAGCTGTTGCAGGCTGCTGCTGTTGTTGCTCTAACCACTGAGCCACTCACTAATTATGCAAAAATTAGTTGCATCTCGGACACAAAAAAAAAGAAGAAAGCAGAAGCAGAAGAAGAGAACTAAACTGGAACGCGGCCTGCCAGTGCCGACACATAAAAACAAGAATGAACAAGGACCGGCAGCCATAAGAAGACGACTAAATACTCTAACTAGATAGTGGCCAGATGAGACACTTGCACATAGAATTTATAAGTGGCTGCAAGTGCTTGGCTGACCTATTCGATCATCAATTAGGACTCTTTAAGCCTCTCTTTAAATGAAAAAATGAACAATGCTCGCTGCCAGGGTATATAAAGCTGGCAATTCTGCGCCTGCCTCCAATTCGCACGTACAGTTGGAAGCCGCGTGCCCGTACGTGTGTGTGTGTGGGTGTGTGCTAATTTAGGCTTCTTTTGTTGTCTCCCAACTGAATGACACACAGAGTTGGGCACGAAGCGTGGGAGCGCACAAAAAATGGCCGCCTGTCGTTTGTTGTTGCTGTCGTGCAATGGCAGCTCAGCAAAAAAAAAACAGCAACAACAAAAAAGAGGAAAAGGAGATCCCAAAAAAAAAAAAATAATAAACAACAATGCGACTTTGTCTGTGAGTGGGCCATGCGGTTGCAGCAGCTGCAACAGTTGCACCAACAGAATTGTAAATAGCGCAGCTAAGCAATGAGCCCAGCCCAGCACAGCGCAGCCCGCACAGCTGCATTGCCCATGGCCCCCGGGTATTCGTGGTGTCGTTCATGCATACTTTCATATTCATTCATATTCACATTCATTGATAGCCCAGCCGCTGGCCTAGTAGACGACACACACGAATGCAAAGTCCTCGCAACATATATGTCTAATGAGAACAGCGTAAGGTGCGTATGCGTAATATATGAGCAAGACTTAAGGAGAGAAAGTAAGAGGCAAAGAGAGAGAGAGAGAGAGAGAGAGAGAGAGAGTGAGAGAGAGAGAGAGAGTGAGAGAGCGCATACATGTTACTTGGCTAGCATTAAGAGACGAAAGTTTTTAAAGCTAAAAGTTTTTGTTAGAGCAATTTTAATAATAAGCGTCGCAAATGGGTCGTATGCGTAATGTGTTTGATGCTTTCAAACTTAAATAGGAACAGTATTAAATTCCGTACGACTTCTAATTTTACTTGTTCTAATTGAAATATGCGTAAGACAGCAGAATTAATGCAGTTAGAGGCAGCTTATGTAAAGCAGCACGCTGCGTATACGCAATGTGAGACATATAAATTAAGTTATTAAGGTGCCACATTTTGTGAGCAGCTATCGGATTTCGACTTTCACTTCTATTGATTTTCACAGTTCTTAGTAGGAGTAAATATGCTGCGATTAAATTGTGCGCAGCAAACGTTGCGTATGCGTAATATGAGAGTTGGCGTTCAACTTTGATGGCAGCCCAGCTTTACTTGACTGCAAAGATAACGGATAATGAGTTGTGTCAGCAGCAGAGAAGCTGTGGTTAGAGGCAACTCAATAATTAGCGCAGCTAACGCAGCGTATACGTAATATACTCAGAGTACTTTAAGTTATAAGGAAGCAATGTTAGCTGAAGCTTACTAAAGTTTCGATTTACGGCAATTTTGGCCAGAAATTAGTATGAGAAATATTATGTAAATAACTTGTTTGTGTAGCCAAAGGCCAAAAGCCTTATAGTTGATTTGTTTCCGGCTCCATAAGGTCTTCCTGGCTAAGAGTATCAATTTTCATTCTTCTGTGTTCAAGATTTGTGTACATAAATAGATCTGTCTGCCTATTGGTCTCGGTTCTCTCTCTTCAGTTGCTGAATTTTCTATATATGAAATTTCCTTTCCCTTTACATATTATCTTTGCATTCCAGCCAAATCGTAGCCAATGCTTTATCAGTATTTCCCTTTCAATGGGAACAATAGCTTTGGCATAAAACACATCTAATCCAATAATGGACTTTTGTGATATATTTGCTGATGCATATTTGCAAGCCATTTATTTGAATCTGGAAATCCTTCTGCTATATCATTAACTTCATTTTAAAGTCATTTTTTGCTGTTGCTGTTGCTGTTGCTGTTGCTGCTGCTGCTGCCGTTGTCATATATCTTGTGCGTCCATTAGATTGCATAATCGCTGTCTGCTCGAGCTTTTGTTGGTTTAGAATTTGCGCTGCTGGCGCATCGGTTTACAGTTAGTTGAGGCAAAAACATTGGCGTCCTTTTATTGCTCGCTAATCATCGGTTATATCGGAAGCTTCCATCTTGGCTAGCAAATGATTTATGGCCAGCATTGATACAATGCAGGCGGCAGGCAGCAGGCAGCAGGCTGCTGCCCCCAAGGCTCTGGCTGTCGGTGTGTTTGGTTAAGAGCTTTCTCCCTCTCTCCCTTTCCCTGTCCGTATCACTGTCTGTCTCTCTTCCTCTCTCTCTATATTTATATATATTTATTTGTATTTTTTCTTCTCTTTTCTTGAAATTGTTGCAGATTTTACAACTGCCACTCGGCTATTTGTCTTGAATTACTTTTCGATTTGCACTTTACACCAAGCACACCACACACACACACGCACCCACACAGACAGTTAGATAGACACTCACATATATACAAATGCACTTATTTATTTGGTTTTCAATTTCGGGTTTCGGCTTTTGCTTATGTGTATTGCTTGCAAAATGTTATTGGACAAGTGCACGCGCTGCCCTTGCCACCTGCTTCCCACTCCGCTATCGACAGACAAATTGCGCGTAAAATAAAACTTCAATTGCAGCAATAACACGAGCAACAACAACAACAACAACAGTTGCTGCTGCTGTAAACAGCAGCCGAGCAAAAAAAAATACAAACAAAAAAAATGAAAAACGTTTTAAAAACAATGAAAGTGGCAAATTCACAGCCAAAAACCGAGCGACTCCAAAAGCAAAAACCACTCCACTAAACCACCCAAGCCAACCCAGCCACCTAAGCCACCTGAGCAACCCCAGCCACCCAAGCCAGCCCAAAGCGCTTACAGCAAAGTTCGCAAATATAGCGAAAACCTTGCTTGTGTGTGCGAGTGTGTGTGTGGTGCATTTGAACTGTAACAACTGAAGCAACAACAGCACCAAATACAACATTAATGTTGTACGTGGCAAACCGAACAGCAATATTCGTTGCATTAAGCAAGCGCAACTACAGGAAAAGTCAAATTTTCCGCTTTTACCTGCAGTCGATGGCGCTTTAAGGGTCAATCGCACCACCGGGATAGAAAACGTGCCACGACATCGCTGCACGCTTCAGTGTGTTCGTGTGTGTGTGTGGAAAGCAAACACATCAGCAGAACGCTTCAAATTTATCAAATTGTACTTTAATAATTATTTTTAACTCTTTTATGTTTATATCAAATTGAATGAAAATAGATTGAAATTATAATGGATATATAAGATATTAGCTTTTTTTACTCAGAGCCCATTCTGCATAGATATTGAAAGTATAAAAGTCTTGTCAAAAAGTTCTTGATGCATTCAGCATGATGCCAATCGGCAGCCGAATTTACTGAGCTCCATCCGACTGTCTGTCCCTCCGTGCGAAGCAGAAGTCGCAGTCAAGCTCTAGATGTAGTTTCTTTTATATTACTTTAGGCTATCGATAAGTTGTTCATAATGAAGAGATCGATTACAATCGATATATTGAGAGATTATTATATTAAGATTAATCTAAAGTGAACAAAAATAAGGCGCACTTTCCTTTTTTGACAGCTTCATTCATTCGCTCCAAATCAAAGGCAGGGCAGGGTATATCCCAGTTGGCCACTGTGGGTGTGGCTTAATAAGACATATAAAGCACAATCTAAGCACAATCTGAAATGACCTAAGGCCAGGCTAAGGCTTATCTTCCATTATGTCTTTTACTTTTGGCAACATCATAAGTCTTAAAGGCCTAGTAATCAAAGTGCTTGGCCAATTGCAAGTCAACATTCGCAGGCAACTGCAACTGGAATTTTAATTTTAATTATCGGCGACTCTAGTTCTCTGCTATTTTTGGAACTCTTTGCAGGGGGCAGCGCGTGTGGGCGTGACAGCTGTTAGCCAAAGTGCAATTGGAAGCGGCACTGAGAGCAGGAACTGCAATCGGTATCTGAATCAAGATATACAAGTGCCCAGGCCCCCACTGCCCCTGGAGGGGCAGACGTAGCGGGGACCTCTAGCAGCGCAGCGATGACGACGCTGGCAGCGGCAGCAGCAGCAACAACAGCAATGCCAGTGGATGCCATTGCCGCAGCGAAAATGTTTTCGGATGCGGATGTGGCGGAAGTGCGGCACGTTGTGCAACGCATTTTGGTGCCGTGCGTTTTTGTTATTGGACTATTGGGAAATTCAGTGAGCATTTATGTTTTGACGCGGTAAGTGCACTTGTTTGCGATGCTGATGCCAGCTTCTGATGCTGCCACTGTTGCCACAACAGTTGTTGCTGTTGCAAGGATTACGGCCGAGCGGCCAACTGCATTCAAATGCTGCCGCAATGTGCGGGCGTGCGACTGAGCGGGTGTGACTCGGCGTGTGCGTGTTTATGTATTTTATGCATTTTATGTTTATGTTGCGTGTTGCATAGCCGACACAACTGAAAACAGGTATGCAGCACATTACAAAAGGCATTTAATTGTTACCATCTAGCTCTGGCACTCTAAAATCATTTCATTTCCCAAAATGCCACCAACAGCAAAAACAGCAACAATTTCACGTGCCAAATGCTAACGGTTCACAGATAAGCGTCCACTCTGTGTTGCATTCACACTTGAATTGCTTCAAAATAGGCGACATTGTTGAGCGCTGCAAATGCGCCAACAAAAGCTGAATGCTTTGCCATGCTCACATACAAAATGACGCTTATCTAGCTGGCTGCTATGGCACTATAGCCGTAGCTAACAGCTAAGCTGAACAGCAAACAATTGCTAATTGCTACGTAAGCTCAGCTTGCGTGGACTGCGATCCACACAAACTCTGATTGATATATTCTTATTGGCCAGGCTGGCAGCTCTCAAATATGATCAATCGCAATTGCTCGCTGCTATAGGACTCAATCGTGAGCCTGGCTTGCCTTCAGCTCTATAGGTCATTCAAGTGGCGACGTCGCCCCGTAGCATCACAATTGCCAACAACTAAATATGAACAGTTACGTTTTATGACCTTGCCGACATTTGCGCGCATTTGCCAGATTTCAATCCAGTTGCCCGACTGTTGCCGGCTGCTGGCTGCTGGACAATTTGGTTATTCAATTATTGCTGCATTTGGTGCAGTTGCAACGCTTGCATCCTTCGCAGCAGATTTGCATACGCAAACAAACAATTTGCTTTTATACTTACTTTTATTTATTTTTCTATTCCTTTCCTATTTTATTGCTTTTGCTAGGAAGCGCATGAGGTGCACCACAAATATTTATCTAACGGCTCTGGCAATTACGGATATTGCGTACCTGACCTTTGTATTAATTTTATCTCTCAAACACTACGAATATATCAAATACCATTGCGAGCTATATTGGCGCCTCTATGGATTCATAATGTGGTTATGCGATGCCTGCGGTAAGTGGGAGCTATGAACGAAGAATGTTGGGAGTTGCAAGGGAACTGCCTTCAGAGAGGAGCTTTTATTATTTTTATTAACTTTTAAATCAGTTTAAATTTCTAATATATACTTTATAGGTGAGTTTCTTTAATTTTCCCAAGGGAGTTGCAGGGGAACTGCTTTCAGAGAGGAGATTTTTTTATTTTTAATTACTTTTAAATCAGTTTAAATTTCTAATATATACTTTAATATATAAATCTCTCATAGTTGAGTTTCTTTCATTTTCCCAAGGACTTAAGCCATCAAACAAAATCCAAGAAAACATCCTAGCAAAGCTAGCAAAGGACAAACAATTAGACAAAATTGAGAAGTAAATTAGAAACGCGAGTCGAGAAATATCTGCACAAGTTTTAGCGCTCATCAATCAAAGCGATTGTTTTCCCAATATATATTCATAGAGCAGGCACATATCTTAGCTGTATATAGCTGTGTGTGTAGTAGTTAGTTGAGCACTAACTGGGGTCATTTGAAAGCTGCGCACAGGCAGGTGACGCGCCCTCGGGCAGCAGTTACAAAAGGCGCTTTGATGTGTGGGCGCTGTGGGCGGGGCATTATTAATAGCTCGATTGTGTTCAACAACTGTATACTGATATCGGCTTGCTTGAATTGTTCTCACACCAACACACACACACACACTTATACACACTCGTTTACACACACAGCATACATCTCAATTTACATAGCCGTGTGCTTTACTATCGAGCGATTTATAGCGATACGCTATCCGCTCAAAAGACAAACATTCTGCACCGAGTCGCTGGCCAAGAAGGTAATAGCAGGTGAGTGGCCATCGCATGGATGTACGCTGTGGCACGGTCGTAGCATTGAGCCAGCCTTTGTATTGTTTTGACAGCCGTCGCGCTCTTCTGCCTGCTGACTACGCTCTCGACGGCGTTCGAGCACACATATGACATCAATTGGAAATTGATTGACGGCGCCTATAGGCCCTGCAATCTGACGCTGGCAAATGTGTCGCCCATGCCAACGTCCACGCCCACGCCCACGCCCACGCCCACGCACACACCGGTGACCACCGCTTGGCATATAGAGCAGCCAGCAAGCAATCCAGCCACGTCTCGCTTTCTGCAGCCTTTCGATTTGAGCAGCGACAGTGGCAGCGGCGCCGGTGAGCCAGGTAAGTGAAGTAACTTAAATGCTGGCTGGCTCTTTAAATACTTTTATTCGCATAATCAATTTCACTCTCTTCACCTCTCTCCCGCCCTCTCTCTCTCTGTCACGCTCTCTTTGTGGCTGGCTCTTTGGCAGACCACATTCCAAGCAGGCATCGCCGGTTACCAGCATTCACGTCCGCCTCTGTGGGCGTGACTGCGGCAGCCACTGAGCCGACAACAGCGGCGGCCACTGCGAGCTTGTTGCAGTTGTCACGTGCCAGACGCAGCGAGGACAACTACAACAACGACGCCAGCAACAGCAGCAACAATAGCGCATTCGCATTTAACATTACGGAATACTGTCAAAACGTAAGCAAAGAATGTGAATGAGAACGAGAATTTCACGAAAATTTAATACCCCGATGGACGCCGGCTGTCCATGCAAACCAGAATTAAGTAGCACATAAGTTCTGAACAAGCTGAAAAGCAGAACTCGTTAATCTTCATTTTCTATAGCTGTGCTGTCGAGCTATGGAAACTTGACTCCAGCTTGATCAGATTGAACCACTATAACATATAGCTGTCATAGCTTGCGATCTAAAAATTCTGAACACAACTGAACTGCTTGTGTTCTGTATAGTAAGATCTAATCTTTAATCTCTAAAGTCTATTCCAAGCTTTTTATTATGCCTACATATCTTCAAGACTTTCCGAATAAACTTATATCAAATTGCCTCTTGACTTGTATAGGAAATAGCTGTTTGAATGTATCTTAAAAATGAGTTTAATATACAAGTCAAGAGTATAAGAAATACCTGTTTAGATGTATCTCAAAAATGAGTTTTAATATGACAGATTTAGAAATTTATCAAAGACTTGCAGAGCTGCCTGAGTCAAGTTGTCTGCCTGCATATTAATATTAAAATATACTCGCTCATGTACTGAAAAGTGTATATTAGTTTTGTGCAAAGTTCAATATGCAATATGAATCCTAAAGAGTTGATTTTTGGAACATATACTCGTTTGCATTCTTCTACTATATGAATAATATAAGAGATGCTCAGAACTTAGAAATTCTGAAAGTACAGGAATGTAGAGTAGTATAGCAAAGTGTAGAGGAGAGTGGACAATTCCAGCTATATAGTAGCTATATCTAAGCGCATTGTGTAGGTAACTAGAAATGTAAAAATTTGTCATATGAGTTAAACTTAGGATGCTCTACAGGTCGAAACTATAAGTAGTTTTAGAGCTACACAAATTACATTATTCCAGGTTTGCCTGCTGCCCAGATGAAGCAATAGAAATAATAATAACATTTGAGTATTGACTATTTATTAGCCATAAACAAGTATAATGCAGTCGAGCATGCCCCAATGCACTCTAGGTTTAACTTCTACTGGAAATAAAGCAAATTTATATATTTTTAAAAACTTGCTCGTAACCAGATGACTGTCTACACCAATGGGCTATCGAGTCTGGGCCAAAATGCGCTCTACTTTAATATCTGGAGTGTGTATACGCTGATTGTGTTTGTGCTGCTGCCGCTGTTTGTGCTGGCCACCTTCAACTGCTTTCTCATTCTGCTTGTGCATCGGTCGAAGAGTCTGCGCGGCGATCTGACCAATGCCAGCAGCATCAGGCGCACTAAGGTAACATGCCGGAGCCAAGCCAGCCCTAGAGCTGCTAATTTAATTGACCCATTGCAGCGCAAGACGAACTCGGGCCTAACGGGCAGCGTATCGCAGGAGAACCGAGTGACCATCACGCTGATTGCCGTCGTCCTGCTGTTCATCGTCTGCCAGCTGCCGTGGGCCATCTACCTGATACTGGTGCAGTACATGGAGATCGAGATGAATATACAGAGGATTGCGGGCAACGTGTGCAATCTGCTGGTGGCCATCAATGCGGCGGCCAATTTTTTCTTATATTGCGTGCTGTCGGACAAGTATCGCAAGACGGTGCGTGAGCTCGTCACGGGCTATCGCTATCGTCATCGGCATGCACGCAACAACATCAGCCTCTACGTGCCACACACGAGCACCACGCTCAACGGCGACGGCGCCAGCAGTGTCGGCAGCGGCGGCGGCTATAACGCCTACAGCGGTGCCAGCAGTCGACGTTGTCGTGGCAAAGCGGCGGTTGCGAGGCGCCTAATTGCGTGAGTCACGAGGCGATAGCATTTCCTGCTCATCGTTATCGTTATCGTTATCGTTTTTGTTTTCCTCCTTATATATACATTAGATATATCGTCTCTAATTCTTTTTTTTTATCAAATTCACAAGCTGTACAATCCTAAACTACTCTGTACTAGGCTAAGTCGAGCAATATATGCCTAAATATTTTAACTTTATATATATATAACTATATATATATATATACATATACTACCAAACATTTGTGCCATATATGTGATGATTATAGTTATACGATATGTAGCTATCCTAAACGTAATTATTGTTGTCCTAAGTGTCATAAATGTAGTCGCAATAAAACAATATGTGAATTACTTTGCAGTCGGAGAGTTGTTAATTATATAAATAATATTGCTGTAGTTGTCAGCAGCTGGCTACGAAATACCTTAAGCTGCATTCTACTCACAAAACACAGTTAAATGGAAATCAATTGATCGATTATTATCGATAAGAAGCAAATGGAATGGAAGGAATAAGCTCGTCTACAGTCTCTAGCTTTTGTGGCTTTCGAAGGGACAGGAGATCTAGCTAGATCGAAGATAGATACCATATGGCAGCTGCCACGCCTTCTTCTGCTTAAGCCCTGATATCCAAATTAATTCTTACTTCAATCGCTGAAAATTTGAGCTTGTAGCGCAGAAGAATCTGCATTTCCGGTTGTTATCCAGTTATTTGCTTAACTGGCCATTCGGCAATACCTGAGAACGAATAGTTGTCGACATTGTTTAAGCATTGTGAGTGCAGGAGAACATTGGAATATGGACAGCCGCCCGGCAGGAAATTGTCTATCGATTAACATCTGAGGCCAACTGCGGGCAAAATACCCAGCCCAAGCAGACAAGTAAACGTCAAAAACTTGAACAGCATTGGGAGCTGGAAGAGGCCGATGATGGCTGTTCCCAAAGGGGAAGCTAGACTTGAGCTGCGGAATATTTAAAACAGTAAGAGTTGAGAAGGTCAGGCAGGCGCACTGCTGGTATTTGCAGGAAATTGCATTATTTGAAGTTCAACTGCAAAGGTAAATGGCAAGGCAAAACAGTGGCACGCATTGAAGCCACAAAGCCGATACAGTTCTCACACACAGTAACTAAAGGCAGTTAAACCTTGTTGGAATGCGCTTAAAATTTGGGTTAAAATACGAAAATCGGGGCAAAAGTTGCGCAGACAGAACTTGTGCACAGCGTGGGGGAGGGGGGGTTGGTTTGTGAATGTAGACCCATACTCTATATATATATATATATATATATATAGTAAATATACTGGCCAAAAGGCTACACACACGCAGACTGTAACAAACGTAATGGAGTAACAAACATTTGTGGTTTACTGCATTTGTTCCTGTGCGTGTTTAAGTGTGCGTGTGTGAGTGTGTGTGCGGCACACACAAAAGCGCTCTGTAAATACACTTGCAGTGATGAGCCAAAAAAATAAAGCCAACTACAACAATTGCTACGTGTGAGTGTGTGTGTTTGTGCATTGAGAGTGTCAGTTGCCTAGAACGCTTTTCCCCTCAATTTCCCCGGCACGCTTTCACCACACACTCACACGCACACACACACACTGCACCCTTTTTCTCTGTTCGTGTTCATGAAAAATTACAAGTCAGCGTCACAATTGAAATATTTCCGCCTCAACGAACAGAAATGCGCAATCGAAAATAGTTATCTTGCCATTGGAATTTGCCAGAAATATGCAACTGGCGGGGCGACTGGTCGCAGTCGGATATGCCAGCGACAGCGGCGACAGCCAGCCAGCCAGCCAGCCAGCGCTACGGACAGACGACATGTGCCGACATATGTGGATTACTTGTGTGTGTGTGTGTTTGTGTGTGCCATAAAACCATAGCCTACCCACTTTCAAGCTGCTTTGGTTGGTCCGAAATTTCCATATTTGATTGTTTTTGAGCTCCTGCAGCAACAACAACATGAGCAAATGGCTTTGGAGTCGCAGATAGACAGGCAACGGCTCGTCGTATGTTTATTGAAAATGGATTCCACTGCCCAGCCGATTGGCGAATGCAATGTGGCATACTTTTGGACGCAAGCCACAATCATTAAAATGTCCAACTAATGTGACTTTCTGATGCGCCCAAAACATAATGCGGACTTTAAGAAAATTTCAAAAAATTTCTAATAATTCGATGTCAAATGAAATGTAAGTAGTAATGTCAAATTCGTATTATATATACCCTGTAATTTAGTTCATTCCATATCTCCCTTCATATGGAACTAAAGGCTCAACTGAAAGCGGTCTCACAGAATAACAAGATAACAAGATAGCAGGATATAGCCACAAGCGGATAACAGGATAATGGGGAAAAAGGCTAGTAGGATAACAGGAGAGCAGGATAACTGTATGACGGTATAACAGAATAACAGGATAACGAGATCACATGATATAAAGACTAGAGTAGAACAGGATAATACGAAAACAGGATAACAGAATTATAGCACAAATATCAAGATTGATTGATTCCCGGCTGGTCTTGTTTGGCCACTTTATATCTGCTTGCGATAGGCAAATATTATTATAATAATCTATTTCAATTGCCGGTGCGCATTTGCGAATATTTTAAATATTTCATGAGAGTTTTATGCATATGAAAAGACAGTTAACATTTGTTGTTTTTATTATCGCAATTGTTTTTGCAATTGCTGGCATTGTTATTGATGTTGCCGCCCGCAGGCTCGTTCTATTTATTTATTTATATAAAGCGATTTGTTTGGTTCGGTTTTATTTTTATGGTGCAGGTTGAAATGTTTTGACCAGCAAAGCCATAAAATGTGCATGGCAAATTTTACAATGGAGCCTCGTAAAATTTTACGTAAATTGCCAAAGCGTCAAATGTGCTGTTGCTAAATAAAAATGTGTGTGTGTGCGACCGAAAGAGAAAGATAGAGAGAGGGAGAGCGAGAGCGAGAGCGAGAGCTGGTGTGTTAAAGTTAAGACTGGGCGTTAGTAAAGCGGGGGGCGGGCAAACAGTTTGTGGTTGAAGGCAGTTAGCCAAATAAATGTACAACTAGATAAACAAGCCGTTGAAACGGCTTCTAGTTAGAGTTGGGCATACACATACACACACACACGCACACACGCAGAACTTCAGGCGCAAGTAATGTGCGGCTCAGCCTAAAAGTAGGCAACAAAAACGCACGCAACTTTCAACCGCAAAGCCTTTGCCCCTCCCCGTTATCAACAGCTGCCCGCCTGTTTGCTTTACATTTTATAGCATTACCTTGTGTGCGTGTGTGAGTGCGTGATGTTATACCCTTGCTGAGTATATTATAAATTTGTCTCAAAATATGGGCACCCATAAAAGTGTTAAATATGCCAAGCCATATGCCAGCAGAAACTAATCTTTCGATTTTCTAATTGAAGTCTGAGATGTATGTATATGTAATATGCTTAGGCAAAATATATTTATATATACATATATATAAATATATATATGTACTCATATATATAAGTATACTTAGGTCTTAGTTCTAGAAGCCATCGTATTAGAAATGAAATCTGCATGTGAATAATATGTATGTATGTATGTAAGATACTCTCTACCTATGTACAAGTGGGTATGACTGATTGTATGTATGTATCTTTGTATATTAATATACATATATATATATATATATATATATATATATATATTTGCATTCATCTTATCCAGCGTGTTGTAAGGTAATTCAATGGACGGCATACGATAGATGTATGAGTGCATGCATGCATGTACACACATATATGCACATATGTATGTATGTGTACACACATATATGCTCATGCATATGTATGTGTGTGTGGTCATGTGCTTGAGCAGGTTTTCTTTGCATGCGCTTTTTGCACTCTCGCTAAGGACATTTTGTTTCATTAGTTGTGCATTGTGGCTGCAGCCTATGAATAAGCTGCAAATTATATTAATACATACGTACAAACTAGAGACACACACACACAGACGTAGGCACACGCTTATGTACAACGGCAGGCATCAAATATTTTTAATCAACAATTTGCTGTGTTACAACATGCAGAGCGGCGACCTTATTTAATCAAATAACCGCATTCACACACACACACATATGTATTTAGTTTAGACTTGTAATTGTATTGGTGTGTGCGTGCGTTCATTTTTAAGTGTGATGCTTGCTTTCTTATATTTGTGGCGAAAATTTGCTTAATTAAAAATAACAAGCTTCAAGAACAGCAAAGCAAAATACAACAATACAAAAGCAAAAGCCCAACAACAACAACAGCAACAAGAACAAGAGAAACGGAAACCGCAGAGCTACAAGCAAAACTTTGTTTAATGGTTAGTTAAGCGTTTAATTTGCACAGGGTCTCGGTGCCCTTCTCATGTTAGGGGAATACAAAATGACAGTTGCCAGAGGGGCAAAGGGCGTACATGGAGGCGTACAGGAAGCAGCGGGCAGGGGACAGGCTGATTGGGCCCATTGTCTGTTGACGACTTTTTAAATGCAAACATAAGCCCCATACATGAGCGGCTAGGGAACTGAGCAGCTAATGTACGACTACTCTTGCTGCCCTCAACTAGTGTATATCAGTTAGAGCCAGGTCAACAGCACTATAAGCGAAGATCAAGTGTAGATCTCATCATATGCCAACTGCACAGCTTTGACACTGCTGAGAGTCTCACGTATTATAGAGTAGCTGAGCGTCGTGCATGCTCAGCTTTTGTTGCTGAAAGGCTCATCCCTGTGGCTTTTTGGCAGCCTCTCAAGTTTTCTTTTCTAATGTTATTTGATTTGTGAGCTGCGCTTGTTGTTGCTTTGCCAGCCAGAGCCAGGCTAAAGTGAACTGGCGCTAAGTATATGTAAATTAGCAATTAAGAAAGGTAAAGAGTAGAAAGGTATAGCTGGAGGCTGATTGAAATTGTGATTTTGTGATCGCTTGGACTAAGCCAATTTCGATTCGAGCTGGTTATGTGGCGAGCAGTCGACGCGCTGTGGCAGAAGTTGTCGCTGCCAAATGGAAATCGTGCTGAGCCAAAGGCATAATCGGCTTAAAATTGGCGCGCACTAAAATAATTTCAGTGTTAATTTTATTTAAAACGTCAAAAGCCGTCGTTGCCGTCGCTGCCGTTGAAAAGTTTCGGCCGCCGGCGGCAAACGTCAGGCTAATGCCAATTAGACGTGGATGTATAAAGCTATGCCAAAGAGAGCTAGAGACACAGACGGACGGAGAGGGAGACCGATGGATAGAGGAAGCATGAGCATGGCAGTGAGTTGCGACCGCAAAACATTTGGCGATTAGCCACGCAGATTATGCGATTCCCTTCAATCTTTGGCTGCAGACAAGTTACGAAATATTTGGAAATGGCCTGACGCAACAACACAAACAAACAAAAGCAAATCCGAAATGTAGAATGTGAGGAGCAAAAAATAAACAAACAAGTAATAAGGCACATTTAAAATGGATGTGATTGACAGGCCGCGGGCCGTGAGGCGTGGGTGGCTCTAAACATATAAATGGGAAGACAATGTAATGCACTCTGAAGAAGAAGTTTTCGCGTTTAGTCATTATTCAATTAAAATTTACAAGTGGACGTTGTTGGGGAGGGGTAGAGGGAGGGAGCAAGCTATGTCCTTGTAGCTGTTTGCTTTAATGTAATATAATTTGCCGCAGGCATCAGAAATGTTATTGGCCAACAAAAGAGAATGCCGCATTGTGCTGATGTTAATGTCGATGGGGATGCTGTTGATAAGAGAACGTTAAAGACGCTGTTAAATGACAGCAGCAGCAGCAGCAGCAAAACTGTGTCTTCGGTTTACAGCACAGCAACGTTCGAAACAAGCTTCAAGCTGCAAGCCAGCAGCTGGGCAGCTGGGCAGCTTAAGTCTTTGGCTCTGCCAGCATGCGACATTTTGGTACTGTTTACATCGCACTCACTCGGTCTCCGGCACTTGGCCAGAAGTTGCTGTTTTGTGCAATTTTTATAGGCCGGCAGTGGCACAAATTTAACTTTTTAATTAAAGCCATGCAATTGTTTTGGACGCCGTTGCCGCCCAGACATGCACCAGACAATAGCCCTCGCACAATGCAGTCCAACTAAGAAGGCAACAGCACAGCCAGCAGCAGCAGCAACAGCAACAACAACAGCGACAACATCGGTTATAATTTAGCGCCAAAAGGGGGAGAATTGTGCCAAGCTGGCAGCGCAACAGGCAAACTTGACACAAAAACGTAGACGAGCCAAGGGACGCAAAAAGTACATTGAAAAGGCGAGAATGATGGCATCACAGCGAAAAAAAAGGCGCCTCGGCTTGAGGAATTGTTAATACCCTTGACATATGGCTCGGAATTGTCTTTGTGCCTAGTTAAAGTAGGTCAAAGCATGATGAATAAATTGCATAAGAGCGAAATAAAGTTGAAGAAACAACTTGAGCAAAAAGGTGCATGTACATTTATGAGAAGTGCATAGAAGAGCACTTCGGGTTTCTTGATTCTATATGTATATACTCTATTTGTGTAAATATATTATATATATGATTGAGTCGGATATATGATTGAATAGGCATTTATGAGAATTGCATAGAAGAGCACATTGAAAACGTATAAAAAGGTATATACGCTCATGAGAATTGCATAGAAGAGCAGATAGTTTTTATTGATTATATATGCTTTTAAGGATGAAATTTATGAGAATTGCATAGAAGGGCACATTGAAAACATTCAAATATACTCCTTTTAATCATGACTATATTTCTATATAATTACATATACATAAACAGATATATATATAGAATCATGACCTGTATATGTATATATATAGATAGATATAGAATCATGATTATCTCTTATTGAAAGTAGTTAATGAACCTGATATTACTCTGGCTTGGCAATTCGTCAAACACATATATACTTGTATATATGTTTGTATAGTAAGATCTACCTATATAATCATAAAACGAGTAGGCCTGGACAGCAAGGTTATATGAGGCAGTAGGAATACAGTTCATCAAAATTTAGTTACATTAAATATTTCAACTTGTTAACAACTGAGCAACTGAAAAATATTATTATTAAAAAAGGTGAAAAAACAATTAATATTCACTTTGAGAGAGAGGAGACAAAAGCAACGGGAAGATGTCTGAAGAGGAATCAGGAAATGAGACTGATGCTGATGAGGACGACTCGACAGAAACTGAAACTGATGCTAGAAACACTAATAGCGATGAAGACATCACGAAAATAGTTAAAGATTGCATGACGTATATAGAGAGTTATATTGCCGACGCCCTACTCGAGGACACAGTAGGCAGGATCAACGCTGAAAAGGATGTGGAAGCAAATATGAGTGGCAGCACAGGTAAGTGGACATTAAAGTCAGTGTATACGAGATGAAACCATTCCGAAACTTTAGAAGGCCAGCATAGTCATCGCGCAAGTAGCGTTTCTCTACCCGATGGCGATAAGAAGTTTGAGACGGTCAAGTATGTCGTAGAAAATGTAATACGGGTGGTGCTAGCAGACATAGTGGGCAGTGTAGTAGAGAAGAAAAGTGTAAGAACCGTTCACGAGCTGGCCAGACATATAACTGAGATTATTCTCGACGATGTCGTTGAAGTTGCAGTTAAGAGCGTGAAGAGCGGTCAAATCGACCATAAAGTTGACTATATTATAGAATTCGTGACGGCATTCATAACGGATAATGAGATTTTGCACAAGGTCTTGAGTTTATCGGGACTGCGAATGATGCGTCAAGTGAATTCATTGCTGGGCGATGAGACGGAAAGATACAGCGATTATTTGGAGTCTGAGCTTTTGCAATCAACCTCTAACTGTGAAAGTGAAATGTTATGGCTAGATGATCGAGATAACTCGAAGCCATTTGCCGAACAGTTAATGGAATGCGTGGCCGATCGCGTGATCACTGATCTTGTTGAGAGTCTTAAAGATGAAACTAGTGAGCACTTAACTGATTACGTCGCCGAATACATAACGGAAGATATTCTCGAAGAGCTGCCCGAAGAGTATACTAGAAGTATGGCCGAGTTGTCCGACATATATGAAAGTATGAGTGATTTTGGAGACTTCAAAACTTACGAGAGCTTTTCGGATGAAAACTGTTCAACGCCAAGGGAATGCTCCTCAAATATCTGGAAGACTTTCACAGATGCCGAATATGTAGGCAGCATGTCGTCAAATACCAGGATCCATGAACGATCGTTTTTCTCGTACGTCACCGTTCAAAAAAAGCCCAACTACATTTTGAATGTGCCAAGAAAACCGTCGATTGAGGAGCTGCTAAATAATAGGCTGAAGGGCAATTTGGGCGCCAATATGCGCATTAACATTGGAAATCGCTACTTCGACTGCATATCCACTTTGTTGAAGGTGAACTCACCCTGGTTCGCCAACAGGGATTGGCACGAGGAGCACTTTGAGTTCAAGGAGACGGACGTTCCTCCATCGGCCTTTGAGATCATCTATGACTGGCTGCGCTTTCACACGCCCATCAAGCTGGCCGACGCCGTTAAAGTGCTGCAGGGCGCTAGACACCTGCAGTTTGATCTCTTGCAGGCCGATTGCTGGGAGCTACTCTCCCAGGGGCACGTACGCGAGAAAACCGCATTTCATTTATTTTTGGAGGCTGAGCAAATGCCGTTGCTGCAAGATGTCCGTGAGGTGTTGCTGAGTCGCGTGCGTGGCTACTTCTTGGCCCTCGTGGGCAGTGATGAATTCGTCGACCTGAAGCTTAGCAACATTTTGAGTCTTCTCGAACGCGATTCAATCGGCGTTAACTGCGAGGTCGAAGTGTTCTTTGCGGCCCTCCTATGGCTAAGCAGGTCGAAGAGCCGTCTCGAGCACATGGAGCCGGTTATGAAGTGCGTGCGGTTCGCTTACATGCCAATGGCCATGTTATTCAGCATACGCAGTATGGGCACCGCGAAGGAGACAAAGCCCATTGGCACCACAGAGCGTGTCATGCAGGAGTTCCAAAGGAATCCAAATTTGAAACAAATGCTATTCGATGCAATGACCTACATAAGTCTACATTTTCAGAACGAACTGGATGGCGAGTCGATGGATCCTCGCACTGAAATCAACCAGCAATGGGTTTATCCGCGACGCTGGATTTATCATCCGAAGTGCCCCTATCACAAGATTCGCCTCATATATCCCTATCAGCATGTATTCACTCAAGCGGACTTTTTCACTTATGTAAAGTCGATACAGGGTGATTGGAGCGGCGATCAACCACCGCCCAATGCAACGATGGATGTGGAATTTGATGGTGTTGTGTCGTTTAACTCCAAAGATTAAATCAAGTTGAATTATATTATAAAAGAATGTATATAAAGGAATTAGCAACAAAGGCAAATTATCCGTTTCTTTTAGAATCTGTCCTACTTCCATCAAGGCTAGCAGTTTCCTGGTTGTTGCACTGACTTATTAGACTGTCTTTTTCATTTCACCAGTATGCGTACACCAATATAGGTACACCAATATAGGTACACCAATATAGGTACAACAATATAGGTACACCAATATAGGTACACCAATATGGGTACACCAATATGGGTACACCAACATGGGTACACCAACATGGGTACACCAACATGGGTACACCAACATGGGTACACCAACATGGGTACACCAACATGGGTACACCAACATGGGTACACCAACATGGGTACACCAACATGGGTACACCAACATGGGTACACCAACATGGGTACACCAATATAGGTACACCAATATAGGTACACCAATATAGGTACACCGATATAGGTACACCAATATAGGTACACCAATATAGGTACACCAATATAGGTACACCAATATAGGTACACCAATATAGGTACACCAATATAGGTACACCAGTATAGGTACACCAATATAGGTACACCAATATAGGTACACCAATATAGGTACACCAATATAGGTACACCAACATGGGTACACCAACATGGGTACACCAACATGGGTACACCAACATGGGTACACCAACATGGGTACACCAACATGGGTACACCAACTTGGGTACACCAACCATTAGTTCCTCTTATTCGAATTCCAATGCTTCTGGTGTGGAGGCAAGAAAATGAGGAAGCAGTCAGCCACTTCAGGGGGCAGTCTGGTTCAACTATGCTTGAAGTGGCAAAAGACTGGAATTCAATAAGCAATTTCGTGCACAAACGTACAGCAAGGAAAACCAACGTACATTTTTTGGCACGTCATTCGGTTATGCAAATACTGCACTTCTCATCACTGCACAGGCTGCACAGCATAGAGATCACTGAGTTGCATACGAATACACGTAGTGCATTCCATTTGGTACATTGAAATCTTTGTCAAGTCCTCAGCACCTCTCAGCACCACAAATAAAATTGGTTTGTCTTAGCAAATATCACGCATACGCAATGTTGTCGCACGTAATTGCACAGACCAATAATACAGATAGCAATTTGAGCAATTACCAATTTGGACACGAGGGCCACATCTCGTGATAAGTCAACAATTTTTCCACAAAAACTGCAACACAGAGCTGTCAAAAGCAGCTAATGCACAGGGAGTCACTGGCATGCAGCTGGCGAGAGATTTAGAAAGGCCATATCAATGTCCTGCTTGCAGCTAAATTTGTGTGTGTGTGCGTATGTGTGTGTAATGCCTTATTGACAGTTGATTTCGATTTTAATTGCACAAAAGGAAACTCAAAATCCGTCCATTAATTAAGCACTTCAATGGGATTATGTCGATGCCTTTGTGTGTTGCGTGTGCACGTTGTAAGCAGCTGCGTTTGACTTGCTGCGTCTACATGTTGAAAGTTTCAAGCATAGATTCGAATTATTTACTGCAGCTTAAGCTTATTTAACATAGTTGCTAATGTTAAATTTCTCATATGAGAAACTGTCTATGTTGCCTATTTTCTAGTGGGATATTTCCATGGGCCTTGGCTAATAGAGTGCGTCTATTGTCTATGATAAACTTGCCGATTGAAGTTGTTGTTTGCTGCTGTGCTTTGGCAAATAATACAATAGCTAGAAAATTATTAATAATTTCATAAGATATAGCGCGGGCGGGAGCAGCTATCCTTTGAAATAGTCCAATTACTCAAGTCTATTTGCGCAACGACCCCAAATTCCAAGTATTTCTGGCTGATAATAGGTTAAGGGCTTGCTCGCTGGCGACATTCACTGTACATATTTATATATATATGGGCAGCTGGGTATAAATACACATTTCCTTGAAGTTCTCTCATAATTGAATTTGAGGCCCTTATTAATTTGCTGCGTGGCTGCATTAAGAGGCAAAGTGAAAATTGTGTGTCTTTAATTTGTGCCAGAGGCCTCGACCTGGGCTTAGCATCTATCAATTGTGTGGCTGGACGGGTGCTGTTAATTATATATATTACAACGCGCACACGCACACACACACTTACACACACATACACACACATACACACGCCCAACCATAATTTAATGCATGTTTATTAGCGGCTGTGGGGCCACTCGATTTATGTTTATTATTATAATTTATTGCGCGCATTATAATTCATTTGGACAGACGCCACCGACTTGTTTATCCTTTAGTTTTAGTCATTAATTAAGTGCCGCTCGTTGGTTACTAATTAAAATTAAAAGTGCTGCTTAATTGGCAACAACAGCTGCTCGCCGTCAACCCTCTCTCTCGCCCCCTTTCTCTCTCTTTGGCCTAGACTTGTGTTGTCACGCCCTCTCGTCTCGTCCTAATTTGCTTGATTGCCCATTAAATGGCCAACTGGCAGGCAATCTGAAAGCGTTTTATGCAGCACAAATTAAGCATTTAACTGTGTCTGTGCTGTGTGGCTCCCCCCACCTGCCTCCCTGCCTCCCTGCCTCTCTGTCTTCCAGCCTGCCGCCTGTCCAAGTGTCCCTTTGCTCTTTTTAAGGCAACATTGCATTGTGCGAGTGCAACCAATCAAAATTCCTGTAATAAAATCAAATTTTCATTGCTTTTGTGAGCATTTCCTTTACAGTTCGGCGCCATGACCAGCCGCTCTCTGCCCCTCTCTGTATTTGTTGTTGTTTTGTTTTTATTTTTTTTATTTCGGAGTTAGGTTCCTGGTGCAGTTAGCTGTTTGCCAGTGCTTTAGACCACGTGGCCTGTGGGTTCAGCATTTTGTTGGTGCTAACTGTAACACAAAGGCTGTAACAAATTTTTACCAGCTGCTGTTTCATCTTTCGTTTGTTTTACCACACAGACACAGACACACACAGTCGCTCACACAGATACGTACGTAATTTTTTATGCCTCTGCTCAAAGGGTTTTTGGCCTGCTGTCTAGTGTTTTGACTTGCTTTTCCTTTTTCATTTTTTTAAACATTTTTATGCAATGCTCATTGCTTTGTTCTGCAAAGCGGGTATATTGACGGGCAAATGTATAAGTAGTTTTTATAGAAATTATAAATTATTATCCTTATATATATCATAGATATCTGGAGTTTAAGTGCCAATCGCTAACTAATGCAGGGTATTATTACGTCAGCTATTTTAATTACTCTATATTTTTGGCTCTAGCTTATTAATGAAAATGCTGTTGATGATTTGATTGCGAACGTTTTTGGCTAAGCGCAATTGTGTTTTGATTATTGATAACAGCACTTAATAAAGCTGTTTATGTTGGCTATATACATATGTGTGTAATCAAGTATCAATTTACTTGCAGAGCATTGCTTCAGTGACCCATGCCCAAACGGGCTGCGGCTGGTTGCGATTGATATCCGTTTGAATTTTTTGTTTCACTTTGCACATGTGCACACGTAGTTATGCGCTGATATTCCTATATATATATATATATGTATATATATATATATATATATATATATATATATATGCCTTCGACATGCGGTTGGCCAACGGGTGGGCAGTCAGACAAGACCCAATGCCAATAGAAAGTACAAAATTTGAAACAATAACTTTTACGCACGTCAGTGTAAACTCAGATAGAAAATTTGCATGCGGCGCATAGCACACAAAAGGAAAGCACACACAGGCAGACACACGCACACACGCACGCACACACACACACACAAAACACACAAATTGGTTGCTGAAAAAAAAACTCGAGCTAAGTTTTTCACAGTGAAAATGCAGCCTGCTCAAAGTGAAAATTTGTTTGAGTTTGTTGTAACGAAGCTTTAGCCTCAAATACATATAGGAACGTACACAGAAATTCATATTTCTACATAGATATAGAATACCGTAATTTTTTTTCAATTTTCCGATTATTGCTTTTTATTTTGTTTATACTTGTTCAAGACGTGAGCAGAGTATATTAGTTTTGCTGCATGGCCTCGCGCGCTGCCCAAGTGAAAGGCAGCTGGAGACTTGGCATCTGGTGTGAGTACTCAGGAAAGGTGTGTTGAGGTGTTTAGATCGTATGCCTAGGGGCTTGGCAAATTAGCTTTTGAAACATAAATTTATGAATATCATTGTTAGAGGGTGTCCTTTGTAGAGCTTTACAACTCAGAGCTAACAGCATTGCTTTATTTAATAACTCATTTAAAGGTTGATAGTTGTTTTTTATGGCGTTCTGCTTGACATTTTGTTATAAATAGATTTAAACTAAGTAAAAATTTGCACATTGTTGATATTATTTATCAAAATAATAGTTCTGTTCGTACGCTGCGTCCATACGGAGGGAGTCCACTTTTGGATGGGTTGAGTGGATAAGCAAATAAGCAAATATGTCGCATTATGAGTGGGATTAGCTTAAAAGCTTTAGTCGAAACACCATGATAGCTAAATAAAAGTGCTCTCGGAACCACTGGTCATTCATTCATTCATATGTCTTAAAAAACGATGATGCTCTTGCATGTGATGATTGATGAAAATTAGTGTTTCAGATTGCGACTTAAGTATAAATGTCATATAATTTACTATCTAATCAAGCCATGAAAAATGTATTTCTTTATTTTATTATATTTTCAGCTTGTACAACTTAAAAAAAAAACTTTTTCACAAATGTTAAGATTCTAAAGCTGAGCTAACAGGTAGCCAAAATCTTTGAGCTTTAGAGCCAGAGCTAGCTGGAATACTGCCTCAATTGGCTTTTACCGCTAAAATCTTTGCTTTAAAACGAATTTTGTTCCTTTTGATAGCTGAGCAGGCATTATGCAGTCGGTTGGCTTCGACTGCAAAGTTTTTAATTGCTGTTGTTTTTTTTTTTTTTCATTTTTGGCGTGGCATTTTCTGTGGCTTTGTGTAATTTGCACTTCATTAGAGCAGGCAAGCGGAACAGCTGAAATTGCCCAAATGAAATTAAAGCTTGCCATTGTCAGAGCAGCTGAAAAGCCTCTTATAAATAGCTGCCCACGTTCTGTGGAACATATCG